CTTTCTTGCTGCCTTGGAAGGAGCAGCACGGCACTGCAGACAGAAGAAGCGAATGTTCAGGTGTGATTCAATTCCACAGCGGAGCTGCCATCTCATTTGTTCGGAAGTGTGTTGGCTTCACGGATTAGCTTTGCTGCATACAATATATCTGGCCCTCTTGCACACAGAACTTGCGCCGCGAAAAGATCCTCAAAGTGAGCCTCTGATGGCATGTTGTCACACGCGAGGTTCCCGGGTTCCATACTTTAGAAGTGCCAGCTGCCCAGTGAATGCACGTGCTTGCCATGGAATGCAATACTTGTGCTCATTTATGCGTTTGAAACTTTCTTAGTGTGTAGGCGGCTCTCACAGAAAACTCAGTCGAGCAAACATTTAGCATCCTGACCTCCAGCTGTGCGCCACGTGGGTGGTTCTGTGTCAGAGTTATGATGCTGACTGCGGGGATCATGGCGTGAACGATTGCTGGGACAACATCCCCACTGGGACGGCAGCTGTTGCTTTCGCAGTGCTTTTTGTTCGAGCTCCTGCGGATGCACGGATCTCCAAATGCAATTTTGACTGCAGGCCGCCCAGCCTCAGAAAATGTTTTGCTTTTTTGAAACCTGACATTCACCGGCTCATCCGTGCTGCAAGGCATTGCATTTGGAGGCCTTTCGTTCCAAAGCTCGCAGGTCTTGGAGCGCACAAGGCCTCTGCTGGAACCTGGGCCGTGGCATTCAGACTTCCCTTGCGCGAGATGCACTCCGGGATGCCCACTGCCGCGTGAATTCGAAAGCGTGGATGCACCAGGTGTGGCAGCTGTCGCATCGCCACATCCGCGTGCCTGATGCAGAGCAGAAATGCAGACCGGTGCAGACTGTTCATGGCAGTAAGACTACTTCATGAAAGGACTGATCACGCATACTGTACATGCATGCGCAAAGCCTTCTCCTCTCCAGGAGCCTTGGTTGCCACATGTGGAAATGCAAAACTAGGCTAACTCTTGTCTCGTTGTATTCACACCTTTGTGCTGATCTTCCTGTACGACTTTTTAGTATCCTAAAACTTGTTCAAACATTCATAGCACTAATTGAAGTTATTCACGGTTCTCGCGGTTCATTGGTTCCAACCTCAGGATGGCAAGAAGGCACACGTACAGTTGGCAAGGCTTGCGTGCGTGACGTGATGTTGATGATGAAGCACCAGAAGCACCTGCTAGCTTCGTGTCGGCCTGTGTAGATGGGCTCCTTCAAGCCTACTTTGAAAACTGCAATCGCAGCAGGGCCAAGAAACAAAACACATGCATGACTCTAGCAACTCCGGGAAGGAGGTTTAGTCAATGAGAAAAGCTTTGTTTCCGTAATTTGTCATATGCCTGTTGGATTTTTTGCTGGTCGGCGGGAACGGTGTCATGTAAACAATGGCTCCTCAGAAGGACATTGTCTTTGTGCGGCGTGCTTTGCTTCTGACGCTGAGGATCGATGGCAATGAGCAAATGAAAGTCTTCTTGCACCAAAAACAGGTGATGAAGGTACTGCGAAAGCGCTGAGTAAACTCGGATCAGCGGTCTGTGACGACAGTACTTAAGAGGAGAGGGCAAAAATCATGTCTAGGGGCTTCAGCTGAGGTTGCTCTCTTGAAGGGGGAGCCCTAGGCTTGCATGACTCTCTGGCAAAGTGGCGATCATGTCGCCACTGCCAAGGGCCCTTTGACTTTGTAGACGGCCCTGCTTGCCACTTGTTCTCGAGCGCCATGGTCCAGCAATGTCTGCTGGGCCGCGCATGCGCCACAGCACCATGATGCGACAGCCCTTGCTGTGTCTTCCACAAGTGGCTCTCCAAATCCACCGATGGGACCTGGGTGCTGCTGGCCAGGCCTCAAGCAGGTGTAGCCGCCACACAACTTTCGCGTCTGTGGACTGGGCGGCTTCGTCGATGAAGTTCGGTATGATGAAGTGACTTCACGCCTACGATGCCTACGCCTACGCGAAAGCAAAGTGCGGGCTGGGCCGCACTGGCGACATCTGGTGACGCAGAAGTTGTCAATTGCAGCTCCGCTTTCCTCATCTTTGCTCGAAAACACACTGCCCCCACACGTCGCCGCTGTTTTGCTGTGCCGGTGACTTGCAGCTGACTTGCAGTCATAGCACCACTCGAAGTGGCAGATGACCAAGCCTCTCCGAGTTCACTACACCCGTTTCGCCACTCTTCGGGTGCACAATCTCGCAATATCTCGTAATCTACACAAGCGAAGCCAGAGCTGGCCATGCCTCTTCTGCACAGCTGGGTAAAATCAACACGCAGCAGTACCAAATAGTATTAGGGCTTGCTCAGACTGACCTCCAAGCACTTGATACATGCTACGGTCACAGCTCGTACTTGGACGACTACGCGAGAGAATTTACCTAGCCAACCGTCTGGTGGAAAATGGCCACACATCATGTCAAAAATATCTGATTGGGGCAGCCAGTGCCGTGCGCTATGCCAACCGTCGATTCGAATGCTCCGCAAATACGTTCAGAGACTCTGCGCAGAAATGCACTGAATGCGTGTGGTGACCTGGAGATGAAGCGGTTCCAAGCCCGTTGCGGCACCGGACTCGTGGCTTGGCTGCGACGAGTGCGCACTGCCTCGGCGACCTCAAATCTAAGAGAGAATCTGCTCTGTCAGCAACATGTCTTTGCAATAGCTACAAGGAACATCATGGTACAAGAAAATACAACCCATCATTTGGCCCGAAGAGACAAGCACCTGGCATCACAAAAAGCACCCGGCAGCAAAACAACACGAAGTTGAATACCCACTTTGCAGAGGTGTCGAAATTCTGGAAATGTGTTTCATGCTTCTTTGCAGATTTGCAAATTCCCAACACGAATCCGGGCAATGGACTTTCGCCATGCACCTCAGCTGCACATGTCGCACAGTATGTTGCGCACTCTTCTGCAGCAAGATTTTGCCCCAGCATGCGGATATCTGCTTGATAGTTGCAGCCGCTATGTGCATGGACGGAAACCCTATTAGCACGCTACCCAGCCTTGTCAACCAGACTCATCACGGCGTGCGCGCCCTTCCTGCCATACAAGCTTGCCGATCATTGAAGCAGAAGAGCACAGCACCAAAGGCCTCAAGGACTTGCGCCCCTCTTCTTTCCTGGCACTAGAATGCTTCTCCTCTTTTGGCCTGGTTGACTTCGGACCGTTCGGACTGTGAGACTTTGCTTCTCACGGGTCACTTCTTGATTGCACAGCGCATACAGCGCCTGGAACCGGTTCGAGCCTTCAGCATCCTCCTCCGGAAAGCCTTCATGCTGCGAAACTCTGATTTTACTGCTCCCAAGCCAGTAGCGCATGCACACCATGTTCCTGCTCAGTTTGACTTAAGTTGTATAGGACCTGCACGTCCCGCCTCGGCCCTGCGATCGTTCTCAGCCACTTGCTGTCGCCATCGCTCGACGGTTTCTGAATCAAGGAGGATGCTCACAGGCGTTCAACGGCTACTCCCTGCTGAGTCAGGCATAGAACTGCTCCTGAGTAGATGCCGTGCGATTGCAACATGTGCCTCGAGACAAATTCTGAGGCGCAAAAAACAGATGTACAAGCCAGACCTAGCTTCGCACCTGTAGATATCGGACTCGGGTTCTGGCTTCTCATTCCTCGCAGGGGGATGCGGATATGCAGAATGCAGAAAGCTACAGCGGCCGTCAATTTTACAAAGCCTATCAATAGCAAAGTTTTCACGCGCACCAGGTACTGCTGGATCCAGTGTATCCGAATCTAGGGTAGCCTCTATCCCACTGACCGTATTGATGATCTCCACAGGCATCATGGAATGAGCCACTGAGGGATCAGTCGGACTTTGGGTAAGCTGATGTTGCAGCAAAATTGCTAGCCTGGGCGAGGATGAGCGGGCAGTTTGAGAACCACTTCGTCCACCCCTAGGTGACCTTGGCTGCACGAGTTCAAGCATTCTGCAGGGGGCAAGACCTGACTTGGGCAATGTCACTCCTAGAGATTCCCTCAGATGTGCGCGAGTTTTTGTAGTACTCATCGCAGACGCGATCCTGCTGCAAGCAGCTTCTTGTCAGCAGCAGCTGCAGCAAATTTCGCTGGCCGCTTCTTAAGACAAAGCCGCGCTCAAGTGCACATCAGCGGAACATGTGAAAAGGTGTGTTCTCTCAAGTTCTCTCTCAATTGCTTGCTGAAGCGCTGCACAAGTTACCCAGCTTTCATAGAAAGGAGGACCGGCTCTGTCTATGCGACCCATTCCGAGTCCTGCTCTCGCAGAGTCTCTCGGAACACCTTGCAGAATAACAGGAGACTGCAAGAATCAAGTAAGCGAAGCTTTGTTGGATTCACCTTTTGTTGTTCGCTCCGTCTCTGCTGCGCCGCAAATGCACGGCGACCTGGCAAAGCAGAGCAGGCAGAGAAAAGAGCGACGGTAGGTGACCGGAAAGCAGCCAATGTCCGATGTCTGATAAGGCTGGGACGATGCTCGTCTGCGATCTCACGCTGCCTCTGGAAACGATGGGGTACATGGGATACGCTACTTAGCCGTAGCTTGATGGCTGGGCCTTTCAGCAAAGCGGGCTTCTGCAGCCTGTGAAACACGAAATTTGCACGCTTCAGACGATCAACTGCACAGCAGATGCCACGAACTTGAATCTCAACAGCATAAGATTCTGTGTGAAGAAGTGTCTCAGTATCCCCAAAGATTGTCTGACGATGGCTGGCTCTGGTGATCCCTGGTGCCTGGCTCTCGATCTGCCTCTGCTCCTGTTTCTGCCGGACCTCAGCAAACCCCGTGTTCCAAAGCCCACTCGAAACCGAGTCGGCTGTCCTCCTCCATGTGCTCCCATCGCTGCTTCCAGAAGGCTTGTTTCTTCTCCTTCTCCACACAGCTCTGCAACCAGACGTGGCCAAGCTTCGCCAAGCTTGGAGCAAAATGAAAGTTGTAGACTGCCAGCATTCCTTTTTCCGCACAACCTTCCTGCCGCGTGGTGCTCACACCCCGGCTCCATGAAGCCTACTTGGCCTTGCCTTTGCCTGCGCAAAGGGGTGCGAAGGGTCTGAGCAGGTGCAGAAAGCTGTGAAGCATTATCAATCTTGGCAGCCTTTCGTCCTTGCACGTTTCGCTTCTGACCTGCACATGCAAGCCTTAGGTATCCTTGCCAAAAACAACTTGGCACAGAAGCAGTCTGAGGTTCTTGCCGGGCTTGCTGGTAGACCTGGCAAGCAAGTTTCGGGCATTTTCGGGCTTCATAGGCTTCAACTGGGCTTTAAGATACTTAAAGCAAAGGACTGAGACACCTATGACTGTCGGAGAAGGATGCTGAGAGAGCTGCACGTCTCTTCCTTGAGCTAGGCTGGACATGCTCCACGTCTGGCCATGCCTGAAAGCATCAAGCATCACAAGGTCCAAGCTTGGATAGAACCTTTTCAAACCCGGCCTTGGCAATGGATGTCAAGCAGTCATCGAGCTCGTTGGCAAGCGCAGTCTGTCCTCTTCAACACAGCAAGGACTCCGGTTGCACACCCTCCAAGGAAGCCATCCCTTCCTGCTCCCTCGAGACAGCTTGCCAGCACTTGACGGTACCACTTCACCTTCCACTTTGCAGCACCGGCATCCAGTCTCACAACCCGAAACCCAGGAAAGCAACTGAACGCCTGCTCCAGCTTGCACTTTGCCTCTTCCCAGGGCACCTCAGCGCTATTAGATTGGCCATGTTTGGTCAACTGGACAACTTCAGCTGCCAAGTCACATTCCTGGACATCTCAGTCGCCAAAGTTGCCAGCCGATGTGCATCTACGTGGATACGCTCGCGAGCACGCAGGCTTCTGTGAATGGAGTGTTCTTCTGTTGAGTCTGCCTCAACGGTGCGAAGCAAACTCCAGAGTTGCATGAATTTCTCGTCCTTTGCCAGCCGCTGCTTTGCCTCCTCGGAAGTGATTTCTGTCAGGTCCTTCAGTCGTTCTACGCAGGTTTCCATGTGCTTTACATCGTCCGGGGCTCGTGGATGCCGTGCCATGCGCAGCAGCAAGCCGTCTTCAGAGTCGTAGCTTGTCTCGATGGACTCAATGGAACCTTCACATCTCAAGCATGCCTCGAAGCGTACCTGCTGTGCTCTGTTCAGAACGGCTCGCGCAGGAATCCATTGTGGCTCAGGAAGCCTTTGCTTTTTATTGTTCGGCGGCTCGTACGCACACAACAGCTCTTGAACTTCAGAGATCAGGGCTGCAACTTCCTCCTCGTTCAGCGCAGAATGCTGCAAGTCCGCCACAGCACTCGCTTCTTCTTCCTCTTCGCCCTCGAGCACGCGAAGCCTTACTCGCAGCCGCCCCTCTCGGAAAAAAACGACGAAAACGTCTGAGTTTTGTCGCAGGAAGTGAGCGTTAACGTTTACGCACGAAGTCTTCTGGGCTGCCACGGCCTTCTTGACCGCTTTGTACTTGAGTATTTCATTTAAATCAGTACAGCCACCAGAACCCAGGGCATTGCTGAGAACATTAACAGCATCGCGAACAGTGTCTCGCAGGGCAAGGAAGTTTGCTTGGTATGCAGAATTGTTGACCGTCTTGATCGAGCCCTCCAGCCCCTGACTGACCACTTGCCAAGCTTTCAACAGCCTCTCTTCCGAAGCCGATGCAGGTCCAAGGGTCAAGAGCTTGCCGGACAGATAGAGTTGAAAAAAGGCATCATCAGCCGCATATGCACGCTGTTCTGGACTTAAGCCGCCACGTGCCCAATTGGAAGTGCTGATGCTTTTCAGCTTCTGCATCGGAATATGAAAATGCCGCGCCATTTTGAGCATCCCTCGCGGAACGTCGCGCGCATCTGCGAGATCTGCAATATCCAAGTATGATGCTTTGACTGCTCTTTGGTCAAAATCCCAGCCAAAACTCATTGCAAGCTTGGCCTTGTCTGCACTGTCGAAGCTTGCGACCACTTTGATCACATCATCTCCCGTCTCAAGAAACTTCTGTAACCAGTTGGGGAGCTGTGAGCAGCCTGTCGTTCGAATAATTATCGCCGTGTCCCAACATGCGAACTGCATAACTGCTATGGGATTGTTTTCCACGCCCCTGTCAGGTTTCCATTCAAAGTCCACACCAACCATCAGTGGCTGCTGTGTCGAAAAGGCCGCCTGGAAGCGAGACACTGACATGGCATCCTGAAAGATCCCTTCCGACGCATCATCCGACACATCACACTCAACCAAGCGTCCACCAAACGCAACATAGTGGGTCGCTGGCAGTTCCATGGGCGCCATACCACACGCGCTGTATGGTCACTCAAGCACCCCTGAAAGTCTGTCAGGATACAGGTCGAAATGAAGCACATGTGTCTCACCTGGATGGATGTGGTTCACACCTGCTAAATCCCGTGTTGGTCAGCACGCGAGTGTCTCTATATATCGCATATACATTTATCCATATATATATATCTATATATATATATATATATGGTCCCTCCCATTTACCAACCTTTTTTGATACAGTACAGCATTTGGCAATTCGAGATTAGATTTTTGGGACAGTACAGCGCTTTTGCGTTCCCAGAAGCAAAAGTGCTGTACCGTCCCAAAAAAAAATCTCGAATTGCGAAAGTGCTGTACTGTCCAAGACAAAACCCAGAGACAATCTTTTCGAACCTCCACGGCCTCCTGGCCCAAAAAATGGGACAGCACAGCATTTGTGCTAGATTTTCGCAAAAAGTTTGACACAGTACAGCACTTTTGCTTCTGGAGACCGCAAAAGTGCTGCACCGTCCTGAAAACAACCAGCAAAAGTGCCGTGCTGTCCCAATCTTTGGGGCCCTGGAGCTTCGAAAAGATTGTGTTTTGGGGGAGTCAGTACAGCACTTTTCCAATTTGAGATCGTTTTAGGACAGTACGACACTTTTGCGGTTCCCAGAAGCAAAAGTGCTGTACCGTATCAAAATATTACCCTCTCAAAAAATCAGTAAACCTGGAGGAATCCTGGATTCCTTATTACTTGTAACCTGGTTGTACAAGGAATCCATATAAACCAAATTCCTATCCAACACTGCAAATCCAGGATTTCAGGATGTTTGTATCATTTTCGAATTGAACTATAAATGGAATTTATATGGACCAAAACCATCTGGAACATCGGTAAACCAGGAATCCAGAATTTCCACATTACGTTCAATCAGATTGTAACCGGAACCCATTTAGACCAAAACCCTCTCGAAAATTTCTCTAGACCAAAATCCGCTCGAAAATAGGTAAACCAGGAATCCAGGATCTCTCCGTGTTATTTTTGACTAGATTTAAAAAGGGAATTCATATAAACCAAACTCCTATCCAACACCGGAAATCACTTCTAATTGAATTATGGAAGGAATTCATATAGACCAGATATCCTTGAAATGACTGATTTTGTTGGTGAATGCGGGGGGGATATATGTATATATATACTATAATATGCATGCATGTATGCTTGTCTCTCTCTCTCTCTCTTTTTATCTCTCTATCTCTCGTTTCTTCTTCCTCCTTCTTCTGACTCTCTCTTCTTCTTCTTCTTCTATAGGCTCTGACTCTTTCTTTCTTTCTTCCTTTCTTTCTTTCGTTCAGGCTGTGTAGGCTCTGACTCTCTCTCTCTCTTTCTCTTTCTCTCTTCGCTTGCATATCCTAAGAACGCGCTTGTCGAAACCAGTTCAAGCTTGGCCTGAGCCGAAGATGCTCGCGCAGCAGTGCTGCAGATTTGCAGCCTACAAAGCCTGGCATGAGGCGGGCGCTAGGCCTGTCTGGTCAGGATTTGCTTTGCCACCGTCCAGGCTTGCTGGTCAAAAGTACTGGCCTGACTGCAAGCACACTGTAAGGAGTGTGGTCAGAGAGTGCTTCAACATCAGTCGGTCTCAGCATGCAATTAGATAGGCACAACCCTAACATGAATCCTGAAGATCCACATGCAAGCTCATCCAGCCGCCTCGTGCATGGAGGCAGAGGTTGTAGCGGACCTGCACACAACCAAATGTGTCCTACTAATCTTGCTGTCTGCATTGCAACACCTGTGCTTCCGAAGCTTAAGGTGCTGATTCGAGCACACATCTCGCTAACACATGCGCAGGTGCTGAGTGAGCTTCACGGCGAGAGAGCTGTCAAGCTGGGTATCCAGCTGGGATGGGCGACTGAAGGAAGACCTGACTAGGACTCGCCACAAGAAACCCTTTCTTGTGCATATCTTTGATACCCCACCCGGTTTTGCAAACTGGTCTGGAGTGATGCGAAGCTTCGGGGAAATTGTCAATCTGCTGTTGTTTGGGACGGGGGATTTGCGTTAACGCAAAGTTTCCGGGGCACTGACACTGCTGCCAATACTAACGTTGGGACGGGTCTGGCTCCGCTGCTGCTGCTGCTGCTGCTGCTGCTGCTGCTGCTGCTGCGGCTGCGGCTGCTGCTGCTACTGCTACTGCTACTGCTACTGCTACTGCTACTGCTACTGCTACTGCTACTGCTACTGCGACGCAACGACTACTACTATACTCCTGCTCCTACTACTCCTACTCCTACTCCTAATTACTCCTACTCCTACTCCTCCTGCTGCTGCTACTGCTGCGACCACTGCTACTAGGTGCGCGTCTCGTACGTTACGCTATAGTGTTCCTTGCGTTCTCAATGATTTTGCAGATTTTGCTTAATCGAGCCCCAACGGACCTGGTTCCTTTTGCAGTTGTTCTTCTGAGATCTACAGTTGTTAGGTTTTGCCATACATCGGGGTGTGGATTTCTGATTTGATTCTATCATCGCCCCATTAGTCCAAGGTACGCTCCACTAGTCTGAGAGTTTGAAGAGTGCTGATTTAATTCTATCATCGCCCCATTCGTCCAGGGTACAGACCCGATTTGTATTTGTGACTTTTGCTTGGCAATCTGGAAGGCTTACGGGCCCTATTTTCATTCTTGTTTGTTGTCTGGCAGTCCACAAGATTTCCCAGCCTCACTTTTATGTTGGATTCTTGGTTAGCAGCCTGAAAGATTACGGGCCCTACTTCGATGTTGGACTTTCAGTTGGCAGTCTGCAAGATTTCCGGACCCTGCTTTTAGGGTTTTTGGTTGGCAGTCGTCCTACTTCTAGGTTGGAATTTTGGTTGGCGGTCTGCAACATGCCGGGCTCCACTTTCATTTTGTTTTTACGTTGCCCTTCTGCAAGATTTTCGGGCTGATACTTTCAGTCAGGATCTTTGTTGGCCGCCTGCAACATTAGTCACAGGGTTTGAGGAGTTGAAAATGTGGTAGGGCTTGGGTGAGGGAAGGTCTGAACCCTATTTTTGTGGGGGATAAAAACTTAGGACAGGGAGCTTCCTGATCAGCCTTCCACCAGCTGTGCTGCAAGTCTCCATGCGGTGACTGGGCTGCCGCCGCGGAGCCCTTTCTAAGCCTGGCCTTGAACCCCTAGCAGCGAATACACATACTTGCCTGCGTACGCAAAGCAAGCATCGAGATTGATACCACGAAGAAACTTTGAAAATGGAAGGAACCACCCTCTCCCGGACTCTACCCAAACCTGAAATGTCTGAGGTTGAAACCATGGGCCCTTACTATGGGCCCTTCACCCTGGGATCCTACATGTGTACCCTTTAGGGTCCCTAGAATCCCCCTAAAAAGCCTAAGGGCCCATGTTATGGGCCCATAGTTTGAACCCTAGAATATGTGGAAAACGTAGGACTTCAGCGATGCAAGCAATCACGAGAATGTGGCGTCAAACAAGACGCGCCTAGTAGCAGCAACAGGCACATTACGTCGAAGACCAGAGGACCAAAGCTAGTCCCATGTAATACATTCCTATGAGCATTGAACAACAACAATAGTAACTGCAGTAATAAGAATAATTCGAAGACCCGTACGCTCTAATGATCTAATGCTAATAATGTATACAAATATTGATACGAATACAAAGGCGAGCGATAGTTGCTTGGAGTGGGGCACCAGGCTCCGACTACACCAAGTAGGCGCTCCATATTTGACTCAAGTCAGGCTGCACCCGGGCCACGCACCTATGGACGGCAGACACCAAATTGTGATCCCATGCTATCCCATGATTCTGCTGGACCGTGTTGGCGAGCTTGTCATTTCATCAGAATTATCTGACCCCAGATCTCTCAGCACGCCTGCTCTGGTCATACACGGGGACTAAAGCCCCCGAACCTACAATTATCGCTGTACTGGAGACGTTCCTACATTTTCAAGGTCGGGGTGTCTCTCTTTCTGCCTTTGCGTGATTCCACGTGATTCCCCATCGTCTCTTATCTTGCGTCCTGCCGGCCTACCCTGTCAATAGACAAAATCTACGTAAAATTGAAGAAGAAAAAGCCGAAATGATTGAGCAGTGAGATCCTATCAACGCACCGCCGCATCCCTCAGAGTCCTGCAAAAATCGGACCACAGGAGCCTCAAGTAATCCCTTCCCCGTAATATTAAATCCCCCCTCATATTAAATAATAAATTCAGAGGCCTAAAAGTTCAGAAGACTACTTTTAAAAGCGGAAGACTACTTTTAAAAGGGCCACCTAATAAAGAATTGGGGTGGGTTCTGAGGTCATCAAGGGGCATAAGAAGGGATCCCCTTCATTTCCCAGGTTTTGATTGTTTTTCATATGGTTTTAATAAAGGATTTTACATACAAGAACTGAAGCGATTTTCATTGATTCTAGTACAATTTTAGCCGTACTTAATTAAATCTCAATTGAGTTTCATTCGATTTCAATTGATTTTAAATGGATGTTAAATTCGATTTCAATTGATGTTACAGGGAATTTTAATTAGATTTCAATTGATTTTGAAAGGAATTTTAATCAAATTTCAATTGATGTTCAAAGGAAAATTTAGTTTCAATTGGGTTTAAAAGGGACTTTAATTGAATTCAATTGATTGTAGAAGGAACTTTAATTAAATTTCAATTGATTTCAAAGGAATGTTAATGAAATTTCAATTGGTTTTAAAAGGACTTTTAATTCGATTTCAATTGTTTAACGGGATTTTACTAAGATTTCAATTGATTCTGTGACTTTAATTCGACTTTATTTGGTTAAAAAAGAATTTTGATCAAAATCTCGATTGATTTTAAAAGGTATTTTAATTCGATTTCAAGAAAGATGTAATTAATTCATGCAATTCCATTCAATGCATTATTCATTTTCTATGGAACTTAAACGGAGTTTAAATGTAGCCCTATCTAATTCCTGCAATAAATATCCCCCGCTGATATTGAATAATTTCTCGGGGCCCGGATTATTTAATATTGGGGGGGGACGTCGTTTAATATGAGGGGGAAGCAATTACCTAAAATCCCACCTGAGAGGAGCTAAACTGTCGGACGCAATCTGACGCTATCTTCAAAAAGACTAGATTTCATTCAAGAATTCTCTGAGTTGGAACGGTTTGTCTTGTGGCCTCTAGCGACTCTAGCAAAGAGATGGAGTTGGCATGAGGCCGCAGGCGACATAGCTCGATGCCCTACTCCCAAGGAATGACAGCGCAATCAGCTACAACATGCTGAGGAGGACAGAAATAGAGCCGGAACTGTGAAACTCTGAGTGCACGACCAACTCCGAAACCGTGGTGAGCTCCCCGCCTCAGCTACACTGCGGCTGAGACCAACGTGTTTCAAATGCCTTTGGCCAAGCAAGCTGCCTTGGAAAACGCATCCGAAGCCTCCAGCGAAGAATCTGCTAAATGACTCCACAAGGCGGCAGCTAGCCACAAGCTGTGGACACTGGGGGATATTGCTCCGCCATCATCCTCCTGCTTGGCGGTGAGTCGGCATAAATGAATGTATGCACTGCATCATCATACAACGTTTGAAACATCCAGGCCTCCACCATCTTTCTAAGGATTCCTTGTAGCACTGCCTGTCCATGATAAACTGCCCCAACGGACCCTCTTGTTTTGAGCATCATCCCCGAGCCTCTTGCTTGCTGACCAAAGCTTTTGCCTTCTGAGTCCGCGCGAGACTTTGGCGCCGCTCATGTAGAACCTATCAGCACGGCATCTGTCTCCAGTAATCTGCAAGTCCAAACTTTAGCCACGCCACTGACTCCTCGTCAAATCTTGCCCAGCCCATGTCCCCAGATTCTTCTGGCACCTGTTCCGAGCTGATGGCTTGTGCAGTAAACAAAGACATGAAACCTTCCAACGTCTGCAATGGGCTCCTCTGCTGCGAGCGCCATGGCCCCACTGCTGTTGGTAGGTCACATTCGGGCAGCCAAGAAGTGGTGATTGCAACTTTCGAACGGAAGCGAGAAGTTGAGTAACCTGAGAACGCTAAGTCCAAATACCGGCGTGGTTCGTGCTGTCATGTCTTGACATGGGAGCCTTGCATGGCAGAGGATCTATCGGAGTATCTCAGGCTAAGCTGCAACCTGTTACATACCTGACATGCATCTTTTACAGCTTTATGGCTGTGGCGTGGAGAGTGAGAACGAGTCTGGATGTTTTCAGCAAATGGTCTGGGGCCATGCATGCAAGCGGCTGGCTGGCACATCCAAGAACAATGCAGTCTTTCTCGCTGAATCAGCACTGGCTCAAGCTTGGGCTTAGCCGCTGGCTTGGCCAGCTGCTCCATGCTCAGGCCATCGCTAACAAACGAGCATGCCTTCAGGCATTCCATCGCTGTGCGACGGCCTCAGCGAGCATTGGCCTGCCGATGCAGCTCAAGGAACCCTTCTAGCATGCTCAGAAACAGAAATGCCTGGCAGCCGCAGCTAGGTCCACGATGGGATTCAGCTGTCGCCCCACGCCCTGGCTGCTGGCAAGGCAGGAACCTACACATCAGCAGCAAAAAGCAAACCTCGAGCACAATGATGCTGGACCTGGGCAAGTCGGTCGCAAAACATTGCTCCAAATGTTCACTTGTAAGCCCCAAGCGCCACGGTGACAAAGCTGGCTTCCAGCTTCACGCGGTGTTCACACGCCAGCCTCGGTCATCGAAGACGCGAGAGAGAAAGAGAGGCTCTGCTTAGTGCTGAGTGGCGAAAGCATCTGCCCGAAGCATTCACCCAGTCGCACCTGCAAGCAATTCTGCGGGCTGCTTTTCTCTTAGAGTTGTCTCTTAAGTTCTTGCCTTCCCGAGAGCCAAACCCATGTCACACACTTGGCTGACAAGTCTGCCAACCTCTGCCTCAGCACCGGCAGCAGCACCATGAGCATGGATCTGCTCAAGCATGCTAGACAACTGAGGCAACAACGACAAATCCGGCCTCGTCACCTAAGGTGCAGTTCAAATCTAGACAGGCCTGGGTGTGCCCTTGTTTGCGATGACTCCAGTCCGTGCAGCAAAGAAACGAACAAGCGAGCGATCCCCGGGTGTTCGCTCCACCTTTGCGCTTTGACTGATGCACGTGACGCGCTTGAGCTTGAATGATTTCGGACTGTGTGACTCAGGTGTCGTCCATAAGCTCCGCAGCCCGCTTCCCGTTATTCGTGGTGAGTGCCTCAGTGAGGCCGTAAACAGCCGGCTGGCATGTGTACCACCCGCACAGCAATGAGTGATCCGCATAGAAGACATCCACAAAATTCCGGCGGTCCTGTCGACGTACCATCATGAATGATAGGCACAAAGACTCCAATTGCTTCGACGGCATAGACAGCTGGTAGTTTTTGCGCCCTCGCACAATCTGGGGGGATGTCAGGCACAATGTGATGGCCGCCTAGTGATCTGATAGTGCTTCTTCGATATCTGCTCGAAGCACTGAAGCTGCTTCTTTAGATCCTATGAGCCTGCTTTGAATGTGGACTGGCAACCTGCAGAAAAATAAGCCATGCAATGGATCCAAAACGAGATTTTCAGGAATGCGGCACACCGACCCGGAGAAACCGGAATGACACTGAGCCATGCAAACCACACGAAAGAAACCAAAGCTTGCAAACCAAACCCGATATGTCAGACGAATCAAATTAAGTTTCTGTTCACTTGTTGCAACTATGGAGCCTTGCGCACGACCGGAGCAACCATCACAAACGTACTTACTCTGAGTGTAGCTGTGTATATGTGAGTCCATGGGCCAAAAGACTTTGAGGCATGGGGTTCAAGGCAGGTGGGCTTGCAGGACTGGCGGGCCCACTAAAGAATTGGAAGGAATCAATGCCTGTTGAGCTTCTTTCCTCAAGTCGGCATTGGTCTCCAACCTGGTTCGGAGGCCTTGGGGGCGCATTTGAATTTTCTTGGACGTGTTCTTGGAGTGCTTTCGGGGTGCATCAATGATGGGTCCAGTGTGTTGGCGAAGTCTTGCAGAACGCATTCATTTGACTCCTTCGAACTATTGGACTGCCCTTGGAATGTTTCGGCGTCCTCTTAGCATTGCCAACTGTCTTTTTGGGACACTATTAAAACGCACCCTGTTTGGATTGGAAAGGAGACCTTTCCTTCAGCTTTTGGAGTATACATCTTTTGTGCGAGGACTGCGTTCAACATGTCCAGAAACAGCACGTCCTGGCTCAATGGTGGCGTCAGCCGTTTTTAAAGCAAAAGGTGGAAGGAAACGAGAAGGCATCATTGAAGGTTTTCATGGGAATCAAAGGAATTCCTGCTCAAATGTTCAGCGTTGGACGGCCCACTCATCTTGATGTGCGTGCACATACTGGCAGATCCCTCTTGCACCTGCGATGTGTAATGCAGTGTCTTTGCGGCTGTCTTTGACAAGCTGTGCTGGTCGCCCCACATCTGGAGGATTGACCTATCTGCAAAAGAGGGTAAGATCGGCATAACTCTTTCGCCTCAGCTGTGCCAGAGCGCGTTACCAAGAACCTCCGGACATCAAGAACAAAATCTGCCAGGCGGCCCTTCTGCTGGGCAGAAATGCATGCAAAGAGCTGTGTAGTTTCAGTCGATCCCGAACGTTTTGATGATGGATGGCATTGTGCATTTTACCACTGCCTTCTCAGCCTTGTCAGTGCCGAATCCCAAAGTGTCGCGAATCCCAAAATCGCTGTACAGACCCTGGCTCAAAAGCTAATTGTGGACTCTGCTTCGCTCAAGCCACGATCTGATCGAGTTCACAATGAATGATGTGGCCAACGCTGGAGTCATAGCCGTGATCTCCAAATAACTTATGAAATGTTTGCATTTCAGACAGAGCTGGCCTGCGCAGACATTTGCACGGCCAAGCCGGCATCAAAGATTACCTCAGACACAAGCAAGTCCTGGAAACCACTTGCAAAAAGAAGCCCGAGCTACCCACCAGCTCTGACTGCAAAGGTCCAGACTCCTTAGCACCGGGATCCAACTTTGCAATCGCTGCTCAAGGACCTGCCCCACTAAAAGATGCACTGAGCAGAAGGCTGTCCCAACTCGGCGCCTGTGAAAGTGAATGTTCCCAGGATGAAGATCCTGGCATCTCTGCGTCTCTACATGTCATTAGCAAGTTTCAAATTTTGTCACTGCTCCTTTCTAGGTGCAGGAACAAACTTGTCCAGCTGGCGGCATGGATGAAGTTGTCTGTGAACAGCATTTTCAAAAACCTGGTGGCTTGGAAGCCATTTCTCGCATTGCTCTAAACAGCATTACTTTAAGCCAAGCACACATCCATGCAGAGCTTGCCCACCTGTGCAGCAGCGCTACATTCAGACATACCTCGCCACCTTTTCGATCCACAGCGTGCATCTCTGCAACGCCAACATTCCTTCTCTCAAGTACGGCAACATAGACTGAAAGAGGCGCCAGGTTCAAGGCCCTGTCACCGCATGTCGGCGCCAACGTTAGTAGTTTTGATGTCCACAACAACTGCCGCCGCCACTACAACAACAGCAATGACAGCGACGACAACGATGACAACCAGGACGACTCCGACAAACACCACGACGCCGATGACGACAATGACAACGACAACAATGACAAGAGCCGCTGACCACCGCCACCGCCACCGCCAATTTTCGGACGGCACTGCGGCAGCAGCAACAGCATACAATCAGCACCGCCAGCACCACCAACAACCACCAACGCCGCCATCACCGACAAAATCAACAAGACCACCAACACCCCCACAACCACCACCACCACCACCACCACCACCACCACCACAACAACAACAACAACCCGGGACCCCGTTCGTTGGTATATGTTGTTCTGCGCATGTTGTTCTGCTGGAGCATTTGAGACCCCGTTGGCACATGCTGGTGTGAGCTGGGCAGCCGCTGTGGTTCCCTGCCAAGCAGCGAGCTCAGCCATGTCGGGCACTCGCCTACGCCCGTTTGACGGCGCGCTAGTGGACTTGGCAACTGGCAACTCGGCCTGACGACTCAGCTGCATCGGCTGAAGCTACTGCAAATCTTGTCCAAATGTCATATGTCCAGCAGGCATGCGATGACGAGAGCATCCATCACCAAACCACAATGACTTTGATGTTCGACTGCATACGGTGACCAAAGCATCCATGCCCAAACCATAATAACGTTCATGTTCGACCGCATGCGATGACGAGAGCATCCATGCCCAAACCATTATAACGCTCGCGAAATGCGTTTCTGTCAAAGGTCAGACATGCTCATTCCTCATGCGAACGTACACGCACAAGTCCTGAACAAACAACATTTTCTGTGCCCTCCTCGTCTGAGTTCACACTTTAGGCTTACAAGTTTGTGCCTGACACTACAGGGTGTAGCTTTTAGCTGTCACGCACTACAGGGTCTAGGATTTTACCACTCTGCCGCTTAGAGTACAGGGTCTACGGTTAGGGTTCATGGTCTGTAGGGTCTAGGCTTTTACAAGTTTAGCGCTTGGACTACGGGGTCTACGGTTGAGGGTTCGGGGTCCCTAGGGTCTCCGAATTTCGGTCTTGCAAGTACGCTTTAAATCTCAGTGCTTGCCTACTGCCTGCTCCTCAGCGACCCTCATCTAAAAGGTAACCCTTCCAGTACAAACGCTCGGTTGAAAGGCCAACTAAAATAATTCCAGTACAACGGAGTCACGGGAGCAGGCGCTCGTTACGACGACAACGACGACGATAACGACGACGACGACGACGACGGCTACTGTTGCTACCACCACCACCACCACCACCACCACCACCACCACCACCACCACGACTACTACTACTACTACTACTACTACTAGGCATACTTTATGTATTTGACGACTCTCTTTTTT